CCAAAAGGTTGAATTACCTCCTCCTTGGATGCTGTCTGACCTGCTGTACTTTCCAGTCTGTCTCCAGTAGACCATGTCCAAAGTATGCTTTAATGTGCCTTTCAGTCGTGGTCTTTGGTTGGTAATACTGAACTTTTCATGTTGGTTGTTGGGGGCATAATTGTAATTAGCATTTGAACTATTAAAACTGGGACTTTTGAACACTACCTGTTTTGTGCATTGGGATGTGTTGTGAATCTGCTGGTCTGAGGGAAGATTTACCTTAAATTTTTGTGCATTCATTCTAGGATGTATGATTTTAGTACTATTTTGCAAAAAGTACAGTGTGGCATCAAGAAGCCCTGGCAAAACTGGAATCAATGGGAATCGGAGGGCAAGCTCTCTGCTCATTGGAGTTATACCTGGCATGTAAGATAATGGTTGTGGTTGTTGGTGGTCAATTGTTTCGAGTCAAGGACACCTCTGCAGGAGTTACTCTGGATAGTGGCCTAGGTCCAACCATGTTCAGCTGCTTGATCAATGACCTTCCCGCTATGAGAATGTCAAACATCCCCATTTTTGACAATGATTGATTTATGCAACGTTCAGCACCATTTGCAACTTCTCAAACACTGAAGCAATCAGTGTTCAAATGCAACAAGATCTGGACAATAATCCATGCTTGGCCTGACGAGTATCGAGTAACATTTGCGCCACACAAATGCTAGGCAATAACCATCTCCAGTAAGAAAAGCTAACCACCACCCCATGAAAGTCTATGGTGTTACCATCACTGAAACATTTCCTACTACCCTGCTCCAAAGTTCTGGGGGTTACCGATGACCACAAACTCAGTTGGGATTTAACAGAAGTATAGGTTTGAGGCTAGGAATGCTGCAATGAATAACTCCGCTCACCTCCTGAACTGAGGAATGATAATGTACAAAAGACTTTTTATTCTTGGGAACAACCAGTCCGTCTTGTGTGGCTGTGGTTTGTTTGTTTGTTTGGTTTTTCCTGTTCTGTTTCACTAGCTCATACTTTTTTTTTTAAAAAAACAAGGAAGAGTTGAAAACCAAAGTTGCTTGTTTTTCGTACAGCTCCAACATAACCTCCCTGCTCTTATAATCTATGCCACAACTACTAAAGGCAAATGTTTTTGTATGCCGGCCAAGCAGCAGCATAGGAGCAGGAAGGCTGACGTTTCGGGCCTAGACCCTTCATGCCTGAAACGTCAGCCTTCCTGCTCCTATGAAGCTGCTTGGCCTGCTGTGTTCATCCAGCTCTGCACCTTGTTGTCTCAGCTTCTCCAGCATCTGCAGTTCCTACTATCTCTGTCTTTGTATGCCTCCTTCACTACCCTATTAACCTGCCTTGCTATCTTTTGATCTGTGGTTACGCGCCCCTAGATCCTTCTGTTTCTCTGAGCTTCCTAATGTCCTGCCATGCATTGAGTACTCATCTTGTTGCTTCCATAGTACATTGCTGCACATTTCAGAGTTAAATTCCATCTGCCAGTCATCTGTTCATCTGATCAACCTGTCTATATCTTCCTGTAACTAGGCCTTTTTTAAACTCACTATTGACTATCTGGCCAATGTTTGTGTATTCGGCAAACTTAGTTCTCATTCCCCCTCACCACCTCAGCTATATCATTCGTATACATCATGAACGATAAGAGATACAGACACCAGCACTGATTCCTGTGATATGCTTCTGGACACTCTCCAGCTTCTCGGGCAGCCATCTACCACTACCTTCCCTCCTACAACTAAGCCAGTTTTGATTCCATGAATAGGAAACGTTGAGGGAAATGGGCCAAATGCTGGCAAATGGGACTAGGTCAGATTGGGATGTCTAGTCGATATGGACCATTTGAACCAAAGGGTCTCTTTCTATGTTGTATGAGTCTGAATAGACTTACCAGGTTGCACTGGATCTCATTGGCTTTTACCTCCTTTATTAGTCTCCCATTTAGGACTTTGTTGAAAGCTTTGTGGCATCCATGTAAATTTGATAAACTGTCCTACCCTCGTCTACACGTGGTCATCTCAAAATTCAAGCAAATGATCTTCCTTTGACAAAGCCCTATTGTCTTGTTTGTTTGTTTGTTTGTTTGTTTGTTTGTTTCTTTCTTTCTTTCTTTCTGACCAAACCTTGTCCCTCCAAGTGGAAATTAAATCTCTCTCAGAACTTTGTTTCCCTATGGTCGATGAGACTTGCTGGTCTATCTCTAACACCCTTCTCAAGGCAAAACCACACTAACTATCCTCCAGTCCTCTGGCATCTCCTGTGGCCATAGAGAAATAAAAAAAAATTTGGCCCAGGGCCCTGGTCCTTCCTCTTTCACCTCTCAGCAGTCTTGGATACAATTGTTCTGGACCTGGGGATTTGTCCACTTTTCAGCCTGCCAATGCCTCCCTACTCTGTGTTAATCTGCTCATACATCTCTGATTCGTCTGGAGTTCTGCACCTACGTCCACTCAGGAGTGAAGACTAAGAAATAGTTGTTTAACAGCCTGCTACTGTGTCCTTGAGTTTGATGCACAGACTGCCGTTTTGGTCCCTAATAGGCCCAGCTATTGTCCCCAAATAAAAATTGTGCTTCAAATTAGAATATGATACAATTCACTCAAACTAGGGTCTTGGATCTATTAAAGGAAATTATGAAGATATGAGCAACATGTTCATTGTGGATGGGGTAAACAAATCAAAGGGATTTGACAGTAGACAAGCAATAACTGATACTTAAGCTGATGTTACAGTATGTCTGCAACATATGTATATGCCTCAAGACAGAAATGTCTTAAGAGAAAAGTAAATCAACTGAGGTTAAGGGAAGAATTTAAAAGTTGCACTAGATCAAAGCAAGTGGTTTAGATGTCTTTAATCTGCCAGTTCAGACACGTTGATGTTCATTGGGAGCAGGTAGAACTTGGAACCCATATTTTTCAGCCCAGTAGTAGGTGTGTTAGCACTGTGCCATATGCCTTAGGAACTATCTTTTGGATGTGTTTAATCAACCCATTCAGATCTATTGCACACCTGTGGCGCAGGTGGGATTTGAAAATGGGCCTGCTTGTTCAGAGGAGACGCACCAAGACCTAGAGTGTGACTTGCACTAGACAGTGGAAATGCTGAGGACTGGAGCAATTTTATAACCCACTTAATGACGACCAAGAAACTGGTTAAGAACGAAGTGATTATATGGAATCCCAAAGCAACCACATGACTTTGCAAATGGGGTCTGTGGCATTAGTTCACTGCAACAGGCTGCAGCAAAAACTTGCATGTGCCTTGCTGACATCATGCCAGGCTGCATCTGTGCATGCGCTGCTAATGTCACTAATCCATAGGCAGTGATGTCAGAATTGAGACTTGTGTATTTACGCTACTGACGTCATTTTGGAAGGTGCAATGTTGCACTGGTTGTGGATCATGGAAATGGGGAACGTATTGGGGTCTGAGGCAGTGGCAAAGCTTCCCCTTTATGTTGCTACCTGCAGAAGAGCTCTCCACTGCCACCTTACCCTGCAGCACTTTGCAGCCATGGGAAAAGTCCTTCGTGAAGCTGGGAGGCTGTGCTTTTTGCTACATGCCTGTAAACTGAATGAGGAGGTTGGGGTCGGCAGGATAGAGGAATAGACAGTGACTCTGGCCCCTGGGCACAGCCTTTTCCCAAGTTGGGGCAAGGCAGCAGTTGGACAGGGTTGGGTGGCAGTGAGCACAGGAAATTGGTGGCTGAGGAGACCTCTGCAGGTACCATTTGAAGAGGGAAGCTCCACATCCGCAGCTTCCATATGAAGTACTACAAGACCTGGTTCTTGGGGATAAGATGTGTCAAATAGAACAAATATCAGTGGGAAAACATTTAGGTCATGGTCACTATTTTGAACTTTAGGGTGATAATGGAAAAGCATAATGAATGATCTAGAATCGGAATAATTGAGGGTTTTGCAGTTGGGTGCAGAGTTGCATAGAAATGCCACCATCTGTATGTTTCCCTGAAGTACTTTTGACTTCGTTTCTAATAGCACCATGGGTGTCTCCACCTTCAGTGCATTAGAATGGTTCACAAAAGTAGCTTGCCACTCTCTCCTTGTGGCTGGATAATAAGTGCTGACCTTGTCAACGAGACCCACATCCTATAAACGAATAAAGAAAAGACAAGCCTCCAGGATTGCCTTAACAGGAGCTTCCCCATTTGCTGAATTTCAATCGTAGTTATCACTGGATCCATTGGTTGCAGTGGATTGTTATTGGATTAATCTGTTTTTTAAATCAGTGCTGTTTTTAATGTTTTTAGTTTTTGAGTGGAACGATTGCTTGTAGAATCTGCTGATCTTGCTATGATAAGATTGAGGTAGATCCATTGAGTTTCGTATCTGTACGTGTTGTGGGTTTCTCAAATTAATCAAGGATTTTTAGGCTGCCTGCTTCCTGTGGCATGTCTTACCCATCTCAAACATGAGCTTTCCATGGCCCCATGCTCCTACAGAGCTCTAGCCCAATGCACTGGCTGCCCAAACTTGGAGTGCTCCTCATTCCAGAATGACTTATGCTGGATCCTGCCAAACATAGACTCTTTTCCTGGGATGCACAACCTAGGTAATAGCAGTTAGCTGACTGCCAAGGAGACTGATGAGCATCTGTAACCAGCTCTGGTGCTATTGACTTGGCTTCATCATGACTCTTTGTTTGGATCGGGAGAGGGAAATGGAACTTGCCAAAAATGGCTGCTGTCATTGAATGTGTCTGCAACTTGTTTGTTCTGAGATGGATCTCTTGTTCTTGTACTGAAAATCCTTTTTCCCCAAAAAGGCATTCTGTTACAACTTTTCTGGCCATCTAGGTGTTTTGAATCTTCAGACAGAGAAAAGGTTGGGTTTAAAGTTTTTCGTCCTTTCTGTATTTAAATATTTTCTTTCAAAGTTTGTTCTGATGTAAGGTCATCAACACATTATTTGTGGTGATATCTTTTTTTAGAATTTAACCTTTTTGGTTTTTGTTTTTTCCCCCAGCCATAGACCTCTTGTATGGAGGTATATATTGTTTTATGTGTCAAGATTATATATATGATAAAGACATGGAACAAATTGCCAAAGAAGAACAAAGAAAAGCATGGAAGTTGCAAGGTACGTGGCAATGACTTTAAATGTTTCATTTCCTATTTGAGATAGTGTGTAATGGATGCTTTCTGATAGAGAAGTTAGGGAAAACTATTAGGATGAATAAACAATATTGTGCAAAAGTGACGAATTATTTGTGCTTTTCCTCTGATTGTGATAACTATGCATTTTAAAAAAAAAAAAAAAAAATTTAAGACCTTTTACGTGAAGCTCATTCCTAGTACAATAAAGCATTGCTATTATAATATCTAAGTAATGTTAACAAACCAAAGGAATTTGGTATGACATAGGATATGAGCAACAGAAATTTTAGACAAGCCACATTTATGGATGATAAGCAGGCTGGTGAGAAATGTGTTTGGGTAATTAGGTTTGACTGTAACAAGGGCATGCATGATGTGTACAGTGCAGACAGTTTGAGCCCAGAATGCTGGGTATGTTTTGAGAATACCTTCCTCTTGTGACGGAAAAGAGGACATACATTCAGAAACATACATATTGGGTTGAACAAATTTGTGATGACCACACCACCACCACCACCACCATCCGAAGATGTTTACTGGATGGAGGATGTATTCAGTGTTTATACTGGGGTCAAAGGTTGACTTGATTTTTCTCTGTCCACCTGGCAGAAGGCAAGCCCTAGTTCTGCTGTCCCAGGCTTCCTCTCAATGGTTTGTTAAACAGCTCATTCATTGGAGTTTTTTAATAATATTAAAACTTTAAATTATACCAGTTTCTTTTTTGTAACTTTCTAGTATGTAACTGTTTTTGTCAAGGTGAGCATAACCAAAAGTTAGCTGTACGCTTTACTCTTACAATGACCTAACATACAGCCCAATATCTGTCTAACTGTATTAATACTCTACAAGAGTAAGGGCCTTTCTGCCAGTAAGATACTTTGATGTTTGTTATCTGTTTTTGTACATTAATGTTTGGCTATTTGCATTGGATTATTGGAACCTGTATGTCTTTTCTCCGTTATTGTGTTCTGTCTTCTGCACACTTTTTTATGACTGCCATAACTGAAATCTTACCACTACTAGGGCCATCACGTTCTGTGTGTTAAGGTTATTAGCATCTCCTTGTGAAATGCCATTAGCTTGCTATTTCCCCAGGAAGTTTTATTTATTGCAGACCTGTTGGTTGTTTTTTTTTTATTTTGCTTAAGTAATTCTTAATCTGTCAGCTATTCAGTGAGTCTTGATTTCTTTTAGTCATGTGCGCTGATCTTTCTTTGAATATGTGGATCTTGACAAGACAAACTGCATCTTTGGCCTTACACCCTTTCTGCTAATTTAGTTGCTATAGCTGTACAACAGTATGACTTAAATGATTGGAGAAAACCGCCTGGAATGGTGCAAGTTGTAGTCTGTGTAAATCATTTTAATTTGAAATGTTTTAAAAGACACATGAAACACTAGGGGAAAGACAAAAAAATTTGCTTTCATTTTGTGCGATGTCCCAAAGCAGCTACGTTTTTCAAATGAAATCCTGCAAAAATTCCAATCACAGTCATGAGATGAAGCATCATGGCAGTTGCAAGATTTGTGTAACTCCTCCAGTAGGGAGTGTCAAGTTAGGAGTGTCATTTGTATTTTTTCTTTCTTCCCATCTGTTTTCTCTGTCTGCCCTACAGAATATCACAATGGACACAATAGGCTCAGGTCCTCTGATCTATCTTGTCTGATGTACACAAGTTGCCTCATCACTGACAAAAGGAGTCCATGCTGGTGCTTGATGCACTTAAGCCTTTTTTTAAATTCTGTTATCTAAATCTATCATTGTAAGCAATATTCCCATCCATCTCAAATACCTGACTAGCTTCTCCTTGAAGATATCGATATTATTTGTTCCATTGAAATGCTGAACTCCATTAAGTGGCCTGATGTTGGTTCTTCAAGAAGCATTTTGTGAAACAGTGTGAGACTGTTCTTTGGTATATGATGGAAAATTTATTTCCACCTTGAAATTCATTGCATTTCTGTTTAGAACCTGATTGACATTTAACCAGAATCTGATCATAGGTAATTAAAATTGAATTTTTAAAAACTTTTTTAGGGGTTGGTGAGAAGTATTCAACATGGGAACCAACAAAAAGAGAATTGGAGTTACTACGGCATAATCCCAAACGCAGGAAGATAACTACAAATTGTACCATCGGTAAGTGAATAAAAATGTGGGAAAATGAATGGTCAGAAATACCTGTGGCAATGGCTTGGCAGTCCTAATTTTAGCAGTTATTTCAAAAATCTTGGGTATTATATGACAGTAAAATGATGGGGTACTTAGTCATCATTATTTTTCTTGGCACTCTGTGAAATTAATAATGCTTGTGATGAAGAAAAGATCACCCTCGGATATGAGATGTACCAATAAGCCATATATTGTACACTGTATGAAGGTTTACCTTTTTGTATTTTCAGCAACAGTCTTGATTCTTCACTGTCAAGTTTTAAAGTCCCATGTCCCTATTTTTGTTTGTGGAGATTAATAGTGTCAGAAGACATTTTTTTGGCGGGGGGAGGATTTAGCTTGTTTAGGCTTGTGGTCTCCTAATAATATCCAACTAATAGATGACATTAAAGTGATTCCACCATCCTCCAGAATTACTGGCCAACACACTGGTCTCAATTTAGTTTTCTGTTGAACTGGATCCATAAATGCTTAGAATTCTGGCTCTAGCTGTCAAAACATGGAATCTTTGGGCCACCAATTCAGGTCTTTTTGATGTACTTAACATGCAGTTTTGGGACGTAAGCTTGGGATTGTAAATCAGTCTTTCCTTATCGATGAGCAACAGACTGCAAATGAGTTTTTTAAAAAAAAAAACATGAAGTATCGAAATAAATACTCTGATCAATCCATAATCAGTGGAGAGAGCAGACAAATTAGTTCCAGTTGGAACAAATCACACTATTTGCAGGCCTGCACACTGGTCTCAAAACCATTTTTGTATCAGTACTAAAACAGAAGTTACTGGAAAAACTCAGCAGGTCTGCCAGTGTCTGCGAAGAGAAATCGCAGTTAATGTTTTCGGTCCGGTGACCCTTCCTCAGGAGTGTCAGTGAAATTAATGCCGGACAAGAAAAAAAAATTGGAACAGAAATCCTGTCAGAGAGGAGCTGAATTTCAAGATGGACGTGCCTAGAAGAGATGTGACAGTGAGTTAAATACTAAGTAAAAGCTGAAAGAACTGCAGATGCCGCAGACCGGAAACAAAACTAATTGCTGGAAAAGCTCAGCAGATCTGTTCAGTCCACTATTCAGTGAGTTTGCTAATTCAGCCCATCTTGAAATACATTCTTCTCTTGTATCAAGAATGTATATTTACTGAACTTGCTGTTGCTGAATGGGTAACCATGTTAGTGATGCACAGCACTTTGAGTCAAGATGTGACCTCCCCCTTGGAGGAAGGACTCTCCTGCTTCAGTTTATCACCACGTGAACAGTAGAAATTGCATATTGTTAACAACGACAGGTTATTCAGCCCACCCCCACACTACAGCTGAATTGTATGTTTCCATACAACTCTTTTCCTGCAAGAAGGTAGTCCCAATCCCATGTACTTTATCCAACCTGTTCTTAAATGCTGGTCGACATAACTTGTCTTTGAATCGTGCAATCTAACTCACACAAGCTACTCCTGCACTTTGTCCTAATCTCTTGCCGGATTTTTAAAAGCACCTAAATTGAGTGAGATTAGCTGGATCAGTATCAGTAGGTTACAGGTGGCAGACTCTGCAGCTGCAACTGTCGATTGAATCATGAAATTTGCAACACAGAATGGCCATGTTGACTGGTTCTAGCTCTTCAGGTGGAGCAATCTCTTCTGAATTCCATTTCAGTTGTTACTTTCTGTATGTTTACCACTTCCTCTTTTGAATACTTTGCTTTTTTTAAACTTTTTAGATTTTGCCCCTCTCATCCATTTTATGTAAGGGATCTCAAAACAGTAAACAAAAACCAACTGCTGGGGTAGAAATGCTGTGTACACAGTCTGTGTACTTGAAGCTTCATTTAAGCTGTGAAATTGGTGATCACAGCATATGTTCAATGCATGCTGTCCACCTGGAACTCATGCTGTCGGTACTAGTCTGAGATGACGACCATTCCCTGCTTGGAGCTACCACACACCCTGATTGCCAGGCTGACATTGGCTTTCAGTTCCAGTAGCCACTGTTGTGCATGGGCTTCTGAGGCCTGTACTGTGGTGGGGGGGGTGGGTTGCGAAAAAAAAATCAAGTGTAAAAGATGAGTACAGTTGTAAATACAAATGAATGTGTGTTTTGATGGTTAACTGAGCAAGTAAAAAATCAAGAAAGGAGTTGTGCTTCAAAATCTACTGTCTTCTCCAGGTCCTCTCTTTTTCCTGAAATTACAGAATCAAATTATTTTTAATGAATTTTTTGACTGTACTCATACATTGTTTAATACATCTGCTAACGCTAAAGTTGTATGTATTCTAATTGGCTCAAAATACTACGTGGAAATCTGATCAGCTGATGGGCAGGTCAGAAACATTTGGTTTACTCTCATGATGTAAGCACTTTTCTTATGTTTTTGCAGTCATATTCTTTTGATCTGTCAACCTTCTCTAGGTAGTTGTTAGGACCTTTTTTGGCCTAAATTTAACTTGAGTCTGCCCCCTGTTGGCAATTTTAAATGTGTTCCTGACTGATTAGAGCATGGCTTGCTTTTGATTGAAGGTGCCCATTGCTGTTTTCTTTTAACCAAGCCTGACTGAATTGAAATTACACTCCCCCCTCAGGAGGGAGGTGATGCTCTAAATTCCAGGCTTATTCGTTTGCCACAATCTCCTAAATCTTGAATACAGCCTTGCTGTATTTTTCACACTGGTTCTTGCGCATCTCCTTTTGGTCTATTATTGCAGAATGTTGCCCAAATTATTTGGATTGCAACTATTAATTGAATCTGGGCAGCATCACACAGCACAGCTTTCTTGTGTTGGAAGTCTATCCAACTCCTGACCTAAGACATGGAGGTTGGCTCTTCTTTTTTGACGCCAGATACTGACTCTGCCCATCTTGAGACTCTGTTGCTTTGTCTTTTTGGTTTTTTGTTCTGCTACACTTTTTGGCAGCTGTAACTCTTATCCCCCTCACCTGAGATGTTTGTTCCAAATGATGTGCTTTCATGTGTCAAGTCATTTGCAGTAATTTAATCATTAGTAGGTGACTGGTTTCGAACTAGGTGGTTAAAAGTTCTTGAAGACTTGTAGCTTGGGTTGCAGATGAGAATGTAGACTTGCTTGCTAAGCCGGTGTGTTTGATTGCAGATGTTTTGCCACCCTGCTAGGTAACGTCATCAGTGCGGCCCCAGTGAAGCGTTGGTGTTCTGTCCTGCTTGTTTATATGCCTCCATTTGCTGGATGGTTGGCATCACTTCTGGTTCTGTTTTTCAGAGGTTTGTATATCGGGTCCAGTTCAATGCGTTTGTTGATCGCGTTCTGGCTGGAATGCCAGGGCTCCAGTAATTCCCTGGCACATCTCTTTGGCTTGTGCCATTATGGCTGTGTTGTCCCAGTCAAATTCATGACCTTCTTTGCCCATGTGAATTGAGACCAGTGAGAATTGGTCGTGTCTCTTGGTGGCTAGTTGGGGTTCGTGTAGCCTTTATTGTCAGTTTTCTTACATAGGCCAAACTAGAAGAAAACTGACAATAAAGGCTACACGAACACCAACTAGCCACCAAGAGACACGACCAATTCTCACTAGTCTCAATTCACACTGGCAAAGTAGGACACAAATTTGACTGGGACAACACATCCATAATGGCACAAGCCAAAGAGATGTGCCAGGGAATTCCTGGAGGCCTGGCATTCCAGCCGGAACGCCATCAACAAACGCATTGAACTGGACCCGATATACAAACCTCTGAAAAACAAAACCAGAAGTGATGTCAACTACCCCAGCAAATTGAGGCATACAAATAACAAGCGGGACAGAACACCAACACTTCATTGGAGGCGCACTAACTCTTATCTAAGTGGTGGTGTTTTGACAATTTTAATAACATTGCAACAGGCCAAAGCAAGCTTATATGCAACTTCTAGCTTCATGAGGTAGTTGGTGAGAGAGAGAAGAGAACTACCTACAGCAGCACCCATTGCTGGGGTTTTATTTTGCTGTGTGGTTTCTTCAAATAAATGGGGTTTGATTTCTGATGTGTGTGCATATACAGCAAGCACCATGGAGTGATGTTCCTAGAGGGTCAAGAATGTATCAATTTAAATTGATAACAAGTAAATTTACGCTTGGCTTGCAGCCCTGTATATGTTGCATTGCTTTGGAATAATTTCCCTAGTTTGGCTCTTACAATGAGTCATTGTTTTCTTAGAAGAATCCAGCTGGTAGGGGGTGTTTTTTATTGGATCACTTGTAAGCTTCAATTATCTGAAGTCCCTTTTAATGTAACTGGGATATTGAAGAACCTGTCATTCATTTTACCAAAACAGTAAAAACAAAGTGACAAACATTCTGCTCAACTTGGTGTTATATAGGAAGGGAAAGTGATGGCCTAGTGGTATTATTGCTAGACTATTAATCCAGAGACCCAGGAATGTCCTGAGGACCCAGGTTTGAATCCCACTGCGGCAGATGTTGGAATTTGAATTCAATAAAAATCTAGAATTGTGTATTAATGACCATGAATCTATTGTTGCTTGTTCGGAAAACTCATCTGGTTCACTGATTGCCTCCTTAGGAAAAGAAATCTGCCATCCTTACCTGGTTTGGCCTAAATGGGACTCAAGACCCACAGCAATGTGGTTGACTCTTAGCTGCCCTCTGGGCAATTATGGATGGGTACCCCTCATCCTGTGAATGAATAATTTTTAGAAGTATCAGTTCTCTTTTGAAGAAGAGTTATGGAAATGGGCAAGCAACATTTTCACATTTTATTGGTTAGACGTTGCAGTCTCTGCCTTCCCCTGCCATGTTTGATTCACGAAGGCAGAATAAGTTCTGGGAGAGAACAGGAAACAAATTTTGTTTTTTTTCTTTATCCCAACCACCATGCTCGTCTTTGTCACCTGCAGATCTCCTTTTGTATCAAACCATTGTTGTCTTGCCTTATGACTCTAACCTTTTGTATATCTCCATTTGTGATCCATTTTCTGTACAGTACTTTTTTTTTTTGTT